CATGCACATTTTGTTCTTGATGATCTAGCATGTTCCTGATCTTTTAAGCACATCACTAAAATTATAATCATTGAAAATAGTCTGCACATGCATGCAGGTGTGTTTATTGTGCTCCCATAAGTCAGCATTTAAAGAAGAGCCACAGAACAGTGGTAGTACATCACAGTGTCAATTCCTTACCGGGTTCCATACAAAGGACCTCAGAGGAGACTTGTAAGGCTCTACTTACAATGCTTTGCTGAGCCAGTTTGGTGTGGTAATTAAGCTAGAAACCAGAAGATTGTGACTTCTAGTCCCTCCTTAGACATAAGGCAAGTTGGGTGACTTTGGGCCAGCCATTCTTTCTCAGCCCTGGAAAGGAGGCAATGGTAACCCATTTCTGAAAAACTGCCCAGAAAACTATAGGGACATGTCCAGGCAGTTCCAAAAATCAGACACAATTGAACAGAAGGAGAAAGAATCCTTGGAGAATTTCCTGAAATAGATAAGATTCTGGTTAGATGGGTTAATTGTTGAGATAGTAGGAAACATTGTCATCTATTCAGATTTACGCATCTCCCTAATATGTCTCATTTGCTTTTCCTTTTAAGAAAAAAACAATGTAACCTGAAGATCACCATTATTTCACCTGTTCCAACAATCGATCTCTTAGTATGGCCCCTAGAAAAGGTAAGTGAGAAGCACAGGAAACTCTGCCATTAGGCCAAGTATGTCAACTGCCTCAAATAACAAATGTCAGAAAAATGGAAAGTCTAGCACATTGCCCCTGAATCTGCAACCATTGCTCTCTGATAGAACCTAGGATTGTATCAGACTCCTAACCTCCTCCAGAGCAACTGACCTCACCAAGTCTGCCTGGTGAAGGATGTTATCCCAGGTATTGAAAGATACAGATGCCATATTATCCTTCAGCTCAAGCAACAGCATGTCTTGAGTCACCCTTATCGCAAGAAGGTCCGTGGTCAGCAAAATCAAAAGTACTCTTGCTATATCCTCTTGCTCTTTTGGAGACCTGGACCTCATGACCTCTGGGATTAAAGTCTTATTGAGAACTGATAGCAAAGGCAAGAAAAGCATTCCTGCCTTCTATAAACCAAGGCACACCACTTTAGTCGAGGCATAAAACAACACTTTCTAAAGGACGGACCAAGGACATCCTGGAAGCCTTCTCAGTTTCTCAAGCTGTGCACCAGAATTTGTTAGGCATGACTGATCTGAAATATTTGAACAGTCCAAATGAATGTACCTCCAGGCTGCTACAATATGGCATACTGCATGTGCTATGGACAGCTATAGAAGGAGAAATGTGTGGCTTTGGTTATGGCAGCAGCAAAGGTCAACTTTCTGGCCTCACCGTCATATTGCCCATCTTGATAGGAACATGAGCTGGTAATTGGCACCAAAACATACATTTATATGTACCTCCCAAGACATCTAGTCAAATAGAACTGCTTTGGCACAATTTATCCAAGCAGAAGGTGGTATCAAAATCTGACTGATGGGATTGCTGATCTCATAAGGGTTTAGAGTAGACTTCAAGCAACCTGAAATTCACACCATTTGGTTCAGCATCAAACGCATGAATACTAGACTACTAGACTAGATACTAGAGAAGCAACCTGGAATTAAGGAGAAACTTCCTGACAGTGAGAACAATCAACCAGTGGAACAGGTTGCCTCCAGAAATCGTGGGTGCTCCATCACTGGAGATTTTTAAGAAGAGGCTAGACAGTCACCTGTCTGAGATGATATAGATTCTCCTGCTTGAGCAGGGGGCTGGACTAGAAGACCTCCAAGGTCCCTTCCAGTTCTATTCTATTCCAATTCTAGACCTGTCTCTCCCCTGCAGAGTCTGAGGTCAACCCTACTGAGGAGAGGAAGAGTTATTGTAATTTGTTTTCTATCATCCTGACTTGCTTTCCTCATTCAGGCATTAGTGCGCCTTGCCACAAATCTTACATGGCATGAAGAAACTGAACAGAACGATTATTCTCTCCCTCCAAACTCTAGAACTAGAGATTGATGAATGAAGCTAATTTGAAGGAAATTCAGGTCCTGCAAAGCGTTGATACCAAACAGTATCAGTGGCACATATGAAACTACAAACATGGCAATTGTCACTAGCTTGGATGGATCACTTAAAAGGGAATTGGATAAATTCATGGAGGTCACAGTCTGCTTTGAAGGTTCAAAACATTACTTCCAGGATGGAGGCAGCATGCCTCCAGTTATAAGTTGCAAGAAATCAGTAGTGAGAGAGAATAATTTCTCTATTTCTTCTTGTGACAGCCCAGAGGGATCTGGTTGGCTACTATGAAAAACAAAACCATAAACTAAAGTGGATCCTAACCTGATTCACCGTTCATGAGCTATTCAATGTGTTCAAATCTCATATACACAAAATGTATGTGGGTGTACCTGTACGCTCACGTCTTTTCTGTTCCTGTGCATGCAACCTATAAAACTTAATTCGATACTTTATATTGAGTCATTTTAGAGTCAAGCAGCACCGAAATCAAATCAATTAAATGAAACTAAATTAAGTTAAGATGTTTTTCCCACTGCAGTCATTGAGATGTGTCCCTGTCTATCTTCAGATTGACAATGGCAGAAAGCAGTTGATCATATGTACCAGCAATTGACATGATAAAACCCACTCTGGATATAATGCTGTAAATAAGTTGCCACCGTTAATAACAATGGAAAACATCCTGACTCTCTGCACCCTCCAGCGCTTCCCAAAAAAAGAAGCTTTCAAGCCAGTTTGAAAACAGCTGAACCCTGTAGTTAGAAGCCATGAATCTAGAAGGTCAATAAGTGCCTAAGTGCTGTGCTTTGCTTATCATAAGATTGTGAAAACCTACCAATAAATTTAAAAGATAAGACTTGCTGAGCCTCTGAAATCAGTCCCATTACAATAAATTGATAGCCGCTCTTAAGGATTCCACCCAGGGTCTTCTCAGCCTGGCTAGGAAAGGGACTGAGAAGGGATTGATCTTAGTGCTTGATCTCTGTAGGCCATACAGATTCTCTGTTTCTAAGCTACACCTTTTCCCTATCATTCCTTAAATAAATGGATATCATGGGGCTTAATCCTACTTGATCTTCAGTAAGGTTTTGAGATGGTTCTGTGGAGAGACAGCAATTAACCTAGAATCACCATATGGCTAAGCAGGAATTTAAAACCAAGTCTCAATTAAGCTTTTATTCATTACCCCTTGCTGCCTCTCCACTCGTCTGTCCATTCGACAGAACCTCAGCAGAAGAAGCTTTGAACTCAGGTAAGAAAGCCTTGAGCCCAAGGAGAGGATATACACTGCACAATATTTGCTTAATCTGCTTGTTAAATTATTCCATATTCTAAATTTGCACATTGCACGGAATCATCAAGTTGTCAAATGATTTGTACATTATCTCAACCTCAGAAAGAAAAAAGGAACAACAGTCAATCAATCAATCAATCAATCAAAAAAGAACAGGAAGGGACCTTGGAGGTTTTCTAATCCAACCCTCTGCTCCAGCAGAAGACCCTACACCATTCCAGACAAGTGGCTGTCCAGTCTTTTCTTAAAAACCTCCAAGGATGGAGCATCCACCACTTCTGGAGGCAAGCTGTTCCACTGGTTAATTGTCCTCACTGTTAGGAAGTTTCTCCCTAAGTCCAGATTGCTTCTCTCCTTGATCAGTTTTCATCCATTGTTTCTCGTCTTACTTTCTGATGCTTTGGAAAATAGGTTGACCCTCTCTTCTTTGTGGCAACCCCTCAAATACTGGAATACTGCTATCATGTCCTTTTTTTCTCTAGACTAGCCATACCCAGCATGCCCAACAAATCACCAAAGTTCAAGCTATCTAAGCTGAACATGTTCTGCAAATGTTCAGGGAAATGCATCACGTGAGCCAAGTCTTCCGAGTAATGTTTAGAAACGAATTAACTTTTCTCATTTAAGAAATCAACATATAATTGCTTCTCTTACCTCTTTTTCCTCCCCTGCTAAACAGTAAAGAATGTTATGAGGAATGTAGAGGGAAAAGCCGTCCCACTCTTTGCTAGATCGGCAGGATCTAGCTTTCAGTACTTGCAAAGTTGTAAATTGAATTCCTGGATTGCTTTGGTCCGCCGGTTCTTGCATCAGAGGCCAACCAACTAAAGGCCTCTTTGGCATTTATGAATCAATGTCTTAGCTCAAACCACCTGCCAGCTCATCTATATGCAATAGCACAATTAGGAGTATGGCTTATTATATAACCTCTCTGAAAAGAGAGAGGAGTGGCTATTTTAAAAGGTTTAAGAAAAGCAATGGTGTCAAGCATCCAACACACAGCACTTAAAAAAACAGTCGGGCAAAGAATATCCAGAAGATAATATGACTCTTTGGCAGTACTATCTTCAAAGATCTTTGTAAACATTAACTCAAGACACAGGTTGATCTGTGGGGTTAAGAAAAGAGAGAGCTTTCTGTTTAACATCCTAAATTTAACATCCTAAGTAAGATCAGCCACTCTCAGCCTAGTCATGCTTGTGAGAAATCCTCAGGATTGAAATCCAAAACACCTAAAGATACCAAAATATGAAAAGCTGGCCTAGGTTCCACTTCCTCTCAGTCATTTACCTCCATATGAATATTTTTAAAAATGGAAAGCAGCTCTTCTTAATGCTGCCCATCAGCAAGTTGAAACAGCTTGTTATGAGGGATAGGTGTTCTTGATGTTGGCAGGGACTGGATGGTACTTCAGCTTGCTGGAGATTCTGCAGTATCCATTTTTAAATGGTGGGGAGTCTTGATTGCCTGCTGTGATGATATATTTTCAAGGCACCTCTGGAGCTGCCACTAAAACGAGTTGATTCCTTTGTTCAGCTCTTTGGGATCTGAAAAGTGTCTTAGTTGGGCAGTTGGTAGGGCCCAGCAATCAAAGCTAAAAATATATACATTGACCATCTTAACTGGCAGCAAAGAAATATAAAATAGCCCAGGTTTTCACTGCCATTTTGTGTTCACCTGAGATCTTGCAATTCAGAGTTGGTGGCCATAAAATTTGAGGAGACGAGATGGAACAGGATTCTTGAAATAAGCAGATTTAGCTTGGGTAGTATTCTGTAATGACAGTTATGACCCATGTGATCACAGTGTTTTCTTCCTAAGAGTTGTATAGTTGAGTTGATGCCAAAGGGAAGAGAAAAAGAGAAGATCAAATCCTAAAAGTTATTGAAACTGTTTAAAATAGACCTTCCTTACTTTGGCAAACCCTATGCTAGACATGAAACGATGTTTTATGGAACCCTATGTCTCTGCAAGAATTTGGTGGATAAGATACTACAGGATAATCCTTGACTTACAACAGTTCACTTAGTTACAACAGTTACTGATCAAAATGACTTATGACCATTTTTCACACTTTTAGGACCATTGATCACATGATCAAAATTCAGATGTTTGGCAACTGGTTCATACTTATGACGGTTGCTGTGTCCCAGGGTCACGTGATCACCTCTTGCAACCTTCTAAGAAGCAAAGTCAATGGGGAAGCCAGATTCACTTAACAACCAGGTTACTAATTTAACAACTGCAGTGATTCACTTAACAACTGTGGCAAGAAAAGTCGTAAAATGGGCCAACACTGACTTAACCACCGTCTCCCTTAGCAACATAAATTTGGGGCTCAGTTCTGATCCTAAGTCAAGGACCACCTGTAATGTTTTTTTCTATGTGCATACTTTATATGAATGGGGCACTCCTACTTTGAAACCCACCAAAGAAAGGCAGAACAAAAAAATATCTAACAGATAATCCATAATGAAGAATAAACGTGTTTGAACACTCTCTGCTCATCAGTTAAAACTAAGCCCGGAAAAAAATATGGCAGTGAAAAGGCAAAGAACTTGTTTAATCATTATGCACAACTTCTCCTCTAATATTTATTTTGCAAAGCAACGCCATGGTAAATCCCATCTTTTTTTAAAAAAAATCCTCTTGACTAAAATGTCATCCAATAAACTTTACTTTTCGTTTTCTGAAAGTGTTAGAAAGAACACGAGCTCGAAGCAACTTACGTGCAACGGGGGAGGCCGCTGTGGCTCTGGGACCATGTACGAAATGGATTGTCTGCAACGTGTCCCTGACTCAGCCCATCTCCGCTGACTGCCAACGTGGAGTTCTGTAAATACATCTTGCTAGATTATCTAGAAACACCTGTGCTTGGTGAAGACTGACTGACCAGGGGAATCTCATTTGCCTATGAGCAATAGAATTTCATCTCTGCTTCCAAGCCAAATCTGTTTTCATCGTTCTGTGGGCAGTCTCAGAATCAGGCATTTCTGCCGAGTTACACTACGGATGCAATTCAAAAAGCTCAGAGAACTTCAATCTCCTTACTGGAGAGAAGACACGTCCACAATGAATCCGCAGTTTAGCAAACAATCTTTAAATTTCTGGGAATGGAAAGTGTACTCCAGGATGACAGGCAGAGAGAAATCTGTAGGGTCCTTGGTCCTCTCTGTGTTTGCTTGTTTGTTTGTTTGGAGACGTTTCATTACCAGACTAGATAATAATGTACTGATGATGTTACCTAGCTGGGTAACGAAATGTCTCCAAGCAGACAAGCCAGCTCACAGAGCACCAAGAACTGCACAATTCAACCCTGAGCTACAGATATTCTCTTCTATTAGAGAGTAACCTTTTTATATTGTTCTACTTTTTTGTTAATCTGTTTACTCAGTGGTCAAAAGTTTTCCACTGGGTTTTAACAAACTTGGACCTTATGTCTGCCATTTGAAACAAAAGGATTTGGAACCCTTTTGTCAGAAATGATCTGACTGGGGTTGGTTTTTTTTCCCCTCCTTGATATACTCATTACGTATGATATACTCATACATTATCCAGTCTCAGAGTTCTTTGATAAGATCACAATTTCCTGCAAGATGTTTCATTTCCCACGTCTGTAATAAAACATGCAGAAGAGAGAAAGGGACAAAAAAAGAAAAGAAAAACTCTAATGAGTGTGATGTTAATGAATGGCAAACAGAAGGAAACGGGACTGCCAGAAATAAAATACAATGAGGCATTTTCTACTACAGCTATTATTCCTCCTACACATAGACCAACTCTGCTGTCTATAACTGGAAACATGGGGATGTGAATTGTTTTCAAAAGCTTTCTTCCACCATCCTTACCTGTCTCGTTTTGCCAATCTTCTTCAACGGAGATGCCTTCTTTTTTTATTTATCCAATCTCAGCACCAGAATCAGGTGATTAATGGCAGATAGCCATTCAAATGTGAAATCAACCCCCTCTGTCAAAAAGAATTATCTCGGTTTATCATTTCGATGAGAAAAAGCGAGGAGGGAGGGGAAGAGCACTTTGACCTGTAGGAAGAATCTTATAAGGAAACCCATCTATTTGAGCTTGTAAGCATTAGGCCTGGCTGGGCTAGCTTTTAAAGTTTTGCTGCTTACGGAAAAGACTTAATCTTTTAATCCCATCTAGCCAACAATTGAATTTGGACAGTCCAGATACGGTAGCTATTTCTCTACAAAGAAGGCATTTGAGGCAGATCATGAATAATGCAAGACCACGTGAAATGCAATGCTGGCTTGAGACTAAGCCAGTCAACTGAAGGAAAAGTGGGATGGTACCACAGTTCACCCACAAACCATTGATTGTGCACCAGAACCTACATCCTAGAAGACCTCCAGGATCAACCCTGTATGCTTTCTGTTCTGTCTGCCCTCTGGTGAGGACTTTCTGCCAGAACGGAGATGATAAGCAAAGCTGAAGGTTACTCAGACACTTAGGAAGGAAGAAGAGAACGAAAAAAGTGCATTGGGGAAGAGGGAAATTGAAGAGAGAGGGGGCGGGGGAAAGAGAGGCAGAATGAAGGAGAAAGGGAAAATGCCACATGCCTCATTTTCCTCAGATACATGAGGAAATTTAAATGCAATAAGAATGCAGCTTGTTCCCTCTGCCATCCGTCTGGTAAACTCGCAAGATTCGTTGTTGTTGTTTTGCCATGCACATGTATACATAATCCGAACTAGACTGTGCTGTTTCTCTGTGTCATATAATATAGGTGGGTATATGCCTACTTCTGTATTTATTTATTTATTTTTGTCATATTTATGTAGTGTGTATTGGAGGTGACCCTTTGAGAGCTGTATGCAACAAAATTTCATTTTAATGTATGCCGATTCGTGCAGAGGTCCCTAACCCACACTCCGTGGACCAGTACTGCAGCATGCCCCACAACCAGTCCACACAAACAAGCAAAATCCCATCCGTGGGATGTACGCAGCACACAAAACCACACACTTTCTGGTCTGCAGAAAAACCTTTCCCCCACAGAACCAGTCCCTGGTGCCCAAAAGGTTGGGGACGTTTGGATTAGTGTACATTCAAAGTGACAATAAAGTTTCTTCTATTCTATTCTATTCTATTCTATTCTATTCTATTCTATTCTATTCTATTCTATTCTATTCTATCCTATCCTATCCTATCCTATCCTATCCTAATAAACTGGCTTACATTCAAATAAAGGGTACCATTATTTCTACGTGACTCTCTAGTGACCTCTGCCGGTGGATCAAGATTATATTACGATTCACAAATTTACAGGCTATCGGCTAGCTTTGCAGCTGATCTAAATCCTTATCATTGCTGTACCAATGAAATTGAGATAAGGCCTATTCAATGTCCTCCCAGTCGTTACAACTTTCAGTTGTTGTTGTTGTTGTTGTTGTTATCGTCTTTACTGTTTTCACAAAATAATCTCTATTGGCCCAATCATAGTCATCATCTTTTGGATAGAACTCTCTCTGGTTTCTCTTTCCACCCATTTTGGGCCCTCAAAATCCCATCTCTGTGGCTTCAGGGTAGGGAATGGTGTAAAGTTAAATGAGATGGAACAACAACCCGGTGAGGTGGTCTGAGAGAGACTGGCTTAAAGTCACCCAGCTGGCTTTCATGCCTAAGGTGGGACTAGAACTCACCATCTCCTGGTGCCCTGAGAATAATAGCCACCACCACAATGACTTTGAGTTGATAGGTTGGAGCAGAATCCCATTTTCTTTTACTGGTACACAATCCAAAATCAGGAAACCGTGAGTTCATACTACACTGATCATAATATGGATCACTCGTCTCAACACTTCACTTCCTCTGAGTGGTCGCCAAATCTGTTGCCTTTGAAAATGATTCCATGGCCTTCTGCTATCAAATGTCTCCTGTATTTGTCATGTTTAGAAGCCGAAAATAGCACATTGTAGGAGTCTGCTCTTGAGAAACGCATGACCTCATCAAAATCAATGGCAAATTAAGATGTTGGACCAGACACTTGTTCTAGCAAAATGTCCATTTAAAAATTTGGCCACCTTCATCAGAAACCTTGAACAATAAGTTACAAATTATTGTGTATACCATTTGATTTTCCCCACTTTAAGTACAGTAGGTACCTGGTACCAATAAAAAAAATAAACAATGGATAAGAGAAATGCCCAGATTTTGCATATCTAGAAAAAAATAAAATAAAGTTTAGGATTAGATAGATAGATAGATAGATAGATAGATAGATAGATAGATAGATAGACAGACAGACAGACAGACAGACAGACAGACAGACAGACAGAAGTTTTGCAAGGACACATCTAATCCAGCCTTAGTGATAGGCAGGCAGGCAGGCAGGCACGCACACACACACACACACACACACACACACACACACACACACTGCAAAAAAAATTGCAATATTATAAGCTGGACAAAATCTCTATAAAGAATTTCGAACTCAAGTCTTCCAACCCTGAAGATGAGCAGAATCCTGCCCACTCTCTGTGGCTCTCCATTCTTTCCCAGGGCTTTTTAAAATGTTATTTAGATCAACCAAACAGCTGCTCTAAATTTCCTTCTCTGCCAAGTACATAATGGAAAACTGTGGTCTCAGGACACTTTGAATGCTCAGCCCTTCCCTTGCTCCCTGATCAGTTCTCAACAAAATGAATAACAGCAGAAAAAGGAAGCTGACAAATGAACGGACATAATTGCATGCACAAACACTTGATATATGTTTGTGCAAAATACTATCAAGCCGACATCAGTCTACCTATTGCACAAAACACAGTATCAGCTGACATTAACTGACCTATCTAAATTTCTCTGGGGTCACAAGCAAAGTATCCCTGAGTTTTGCAATTCTCATATGCAAAAAGATGGGGAACAAAAGATGGGGAACAAAAATTTGCTTTGAAAGCTTGTCCGTGTTTCCAATGTCCCTAGCACCAGCCTAGTTGTGATCTGCACAACTTTTGTAAACCTCCCATTTAAGAAAAGAAATTTTATACTGAAGGTCCTAGTTCTATTAACCCTGATGCTAAAGTCTGCATATAATTGAGGGCTTCGTTTTTGAAGCATCAGGTCTTTAATGAACCAGCTAAAATGTCAACATTGTTTGGCCTCCAGCAGATTAAGGTCATCAAATGTCACAGTTAAAGCTGCTGGCAAACAATTAAAAAAAAAAGTAAATATAAGACATAGATCTTGGCTCAGTGTCCTGCTGGTCTCCCTCCCTCTCTCTCTCTCTCTCTCTCTCTCTCTCTCTCTCTCTCTCCCTCTCTCTCCCTCTCTCTCTCCCTCTCTCTCTCTCTCTCTCTCTCTCTCTCTCTCTCTCTCCCCCCAGTGTTTTCGGAAATGTGAGATTAAAGAAACATTGAGTGTGACAGGACAAACTAAGGTCTATGCCAAGGTTGGTCAACCTTTCAGCATCGGGGTTCATACTTAATATAGTTGGAGGAATAAAAGATTATGGTGAAAGGGCAGCAATGCAAATTGAATAGTGCTGTGTCACAACTCAGTGCAAAGAAGCCAGTATGGTCCAGTGGTTAAGATATCAGGCTAGAAACCAGAAGACCATGAGTTCTAGTCCTACCCTGGGCATGAAAGCCAGCTGGTGACTTTCGAGTTCTAGTCCTGCCTTAGAGATGAAAGCCAGCTGGGTGACTTTGGGCCAATCACCAGGAGGTGGTGAGTTCTAGTCTTGCCTTAGATACAAAGCCAGCTGTGTGACCTTGGGCCAGTCACTCTCTCTCAGCCTGAGGAAGGCAGCAATGGCAAACCACTCCTGAAAATCTTACTAAGAAGACATCAGTCCAGATGGTTGCCAGGAGTCAAAACTGACTTGAAGGCATAGAAATTTAAAAAAAAAAAAATGCCACAAGAAGAACACTTTCAGAATTTCCTGTTTGCTTCCTGGATTGCAGAGGACAATTCTTTGTTTCTAAAATGACAGTTCTGGACAGCTTCTTGCCTAAACCTGTTAAGAAACCACTGATTTCAGCAGCAAGGTTGGGGGAAGTTCAGCAAAGGGTTTCAAGAGCTACAGGCTACCCTGAGGTTGCGGATTACTCACCTGTTTTGATTTTTTTTTTCCCATGGGAAATTCTGCTTTTAAGTCACTGGAAGCATTTAAGTCCAGATACAGGTCCTCTCTAATCTCATCCCACAGTTCCTCACAGCAAGAAGCATCTCCAGCAAAGCCCAGGTGAAAACTCATCTTCTGGGTTGCTATAGCCCAGCCTCCACACACACACACACACACACACACACACACACACACACACACACACACACTTGTTCTAAGGAAGTGGCTGCAGCTGAGCTCGGTGTCTGTAAGTGTGCATCAATTCCCTCCTGCAAATTGGAAAACGATAATTTCTGGAATAGAATAGAATAGAATAGAATAGAATAGAATAGAATAGAATAGAATAGAATAGAATAGAATAGAATAGAACTGGAAGGGACCTTGGAGGTCTTCTAGTCCAGCCCCATGCTCAAGCAGGAGGACCTATACCAGTGATGGAGAACCTTTTTGAGTGCCCAAACTGCAACCCAAAACCCACTTATGTATCGTCATGTGCCAGGTGGGCGTGGCCCATTGGGTGGGTGTGGCCCATTGGGTGGGCATGACTGTGGTGGTAATGGCAGACTGGGTGGGACTAAAAAGTTCAATCAATAAATTCCAACTTTGCGAAATCTTTTTTTCCTGCGAGAAGTTGAAATTGACTGATTGATTGAACCTTTTTTTTGTACATGGCAGCGGAGGCCTAAAGTAAAAAGGTTTTATAAAACCCAGCTGAAGGCCTAGGACTGGGGCGACAATGCGTGTGCCCGCAGAGAGGGCTCTGCGTGCCACCTATGACATGCGTGCCATAGGTTTGCCACCATGGACCTATACCATCTCAGACAGGTGATTGTCCAGTCTCTTCTTAAAAATCTCCAGTGATGGAGCACCCACAATTTCTGGAGGCAAGCTGTTCCACTGGTTAATTGTCCTCACTGTTAGGAAGTTTCTCCTTAATTCCAGGTTGCTTCTCTCTTTGATCAGCTTCCAACCATTGTTTTTCGTCCTTCCCTCTGATGCTTTGGTGAACAACCTGATCCCCTCTGCCTTGTGG